ACAGCACTTCAACAGAGCTAATATTGACAGGAAAACTGGAATTAAGAATGTTGTGGACAAAAAGAGATACAACCGGGCACGTGATAAAAACAGTAGAACCCGAAGACTGAAGCTCCAACAAGAACAGCCTCATTTCTCCTGCAATACCCACCAAACATAAGAATGAAATCCGACCCCATGTCCACCTCACCGCAGCAAGAGGCATCAGCCCACAGCCCCTCAATGAACGGTGCTTTGCCTTACTTGTTAACAAATTTCCCTACGCAGGACACAGACCACTGTCGGAAAAGGACAGAGGAGCAGCAGAAGGAACCGTCGCAGACAGAGTTCGGCATGAGGAACTCACCGGGGGAGGGGCGGAGTCGGCGGGGTGGACACCGGCAGGTTCCTCGTCTCCGAGCAGCGGCGCGGGCTCGTCGGGCGGCGGCCGGGCCGGCAGGGTGTCGCAGCAGCTGTCGGCCGAGAAGCGGAGGTGGCTCTTGCGCGAGTCGGCCGTGAGAGACACGTCGTGCGAGTAGGAGTGCAGGAAGGCGCGCACGCCGTCGATGCCCACGAAGTGCGTGGCCGGCACGCCGCGCAAGGCGCCGCTGCCCGCCGCCAGCAGCTGCTGCTGCGAGCGCCGCCAGCGCCGCAGGCGCAGCGCCAGCAGCAGCAGCAGGAAGGCGACGAAGAGGCACGACACGGCGGCCACGGCCAGCACCAGCCAGCGCGTCAGGCTGCCGCCCGCCTCGCCCGCCCCCGCCTCCGCCTCCGCCCGCGCCGCGCTGCCCAGCTCGGCCAGCAGCTCGGCCACGCTCTCGGCCAGCACCACGCTCAGCGTGGCCGTGGCCGACAGCGCCGGCCGCCCGTGGTCCTTCACCAGCACCACCAGGCTCTGCCGCGACGCGTCGCGGGCCAGTGGCGAGCGCGCCGTGCGCACCTCGCCGCTGTGCAGCCCCACGCGGAACAGCCCCGGCTCCGTCGCCTTGGCCAGCTCGTACGACAGCCACGCGTTCTGACCCGCGTCCGCGTCCACCGCCACCACCTTGGCCACCAGCGCGCCGGCCTCGCTCGACCGCGCCGCCAGCTCCACGCCCGACCACCCCGAGCCCGACAAAGCCGCCCCCGCCGCCGGCGGGTACAGCACCTGCGGCGCGTTGTCGTTCTCGTCCACGATCACCAGCCGCACCGACACGTTGCTGCTCAGCGCCGGCGAGCCGCCGTCCTCCGCCCAAACCCACAGCCCCACCTCGCGCACCTCCTCGTAATCGAACGAGCGCAGCGCGTACAGCGCGCCCGTCTCCGCCTGCACCGACACGTACGACGACAGCGGCCAGCCCCGCACACCACCCTCCCCCAGACGGTACCGCACGCGCGCGTTCGCCCCCCAGTCCGAGTCCGTCGCCCGCACCCGCAGCACCAGCGCGCCCGCCACGTTGTTCTCCGACAGCCGAGCGCTGTAGCGCTCCTGCGAGAACACCGGCGCGTTGTCGTTCACGTCCAGCACCCGCAGACACAGCACCCTGCTGCTCTGCAGCGACGGACCACCGCCGTCGGCCGCCCGCACCGTCACGTTGTACTCCGACTCCTGCTCCCGGTCCAGCTCTCTCGCTGTCACCACGCGGTAGTAGCTGCCCTGCGAGCTCTCCAGCCGGAACGGGACGCTCCCGTCGAGGGAGCAGCGCACCTCGCCATTGGCTCCCGAGTCCGGTCCTGCACGTGCAGCAGGGCCACCACCGTCCCCGTCGGGGCGTCCTCAGAAATCTCACTCAGTGCCGACCGCACCGAAATCTCGGGCACGTTGTCATTAACGTCTGTCACGGCGATCGCAACTTTCGCTATGTCTGACAGGCTGCCGCCGTCCCGTGCCTGCACATCCAGTTCGTACGAGTCCCTTTGCTCGAAGTCCAGGCTTCGCAAGACGTGATCTCTCCAGTCTCGGCGTCCAGCTGGAAAATCTGCGAGGCTTTTCCTGTAATTGTTTTCAACGAATATTTCACGTGCCCGTTCAGACCCTCGTCGGCGTCGGTGGCCGTGACGGTGACGAGGACGGAGCCCACGGGCACGTCCTCCGGCACACGCACCGTGTACTCCGCCTGGCTGAACACGGGCGCGTTGTCGTTCGCGTCCAGCACCGTCACGCGGATCCGCGCCGTGCCCGTCCGGGACGGCTCGCCGCCGTCGCTCGCCCTCAGCACCAGCTCGTGAAACGCCGCCTCCTCCCGGTCCAGCGCCTTCGCCAGCACCAGCTCGGGACGCTCATCCCCGCCGGGGCCCGTCTGCACGGCCAGCGAGAAGTGCTCGTCGCCGCTCAGCTCGTAGCTCTGCAGGGAATTCCGTCCAGAGTCGGGGTCGTGAGCTCTGGGAAGTGGAAACCGCGATCCTGGGGCTGTGTTCTCGCTTATCGTCTCCTCCAGCTCCGTTTCCTTGAAGTTTGGCGCGTTGTCATTAATGTCCGTGATTTCCACTTCGATTTCATAAAACTTCATTTCCCCCTCCACTATCAGCTCACAGCGCAGCACGCATTGCTCCACACTCTCGCACAACTCTTCTCTGTCGATCCTCTCGGCCGTCACTAAATGTCCCGTCTTCCCGTGTAGAGAAAAATACTGCGTCCTACCTTCGGAGACAACTCGGAGACCGCGATCGCTGAGCGCCGGGAGCTGCAGCCCCAGGTCCTTGGCCACGTCGCCCACGAACGAGCCCTTGGGCATCTCCTCGGGCACCGAGTAGCGCAGCTGCCCCCACGCCGCCTCCCAGGCCGCCAGCAGGACGCCCCACAGCAGCACTCGCTGCCGCCGGCCCCAGCGCCTCCCCGCCGCGCACATCTCCGCCGCCGCACCGCCGGCACCGCAACACCGCCGGCAGATCCCCGCCGCCGATCGCCGATCTGGTTTCCGCTACTTTTACGCCTCGCTTCTTGCGGCCCCGCCGCCTCTCCGTAGCAGGGCTCCGCACCGCGGGGACGATCGCAGATCTCCCGGCCGCCGATCCTGACAGGTAGCGATCCAGCGATCGAGCCGGGCCGCAGCGGGCGGGGCTGCAGCGCTCCGACCTTCCTCTCGCTCCTCTCGGTCAACAGCGGCGCCCGCAGCCTCCTCCCGGCACTGCACGCACCGAGCGCCAACGAGCTCTGTCTGCTCTGCTTTGCCCACGGGCTGATCGCGGGGATGGGATATTCACCGCAGAGACATCGGGATATTCACCGCAGAGACATCTTGTCCCGTCCAGCGTGAGCCTCCTGCTTTTATCTATCCGAATTCATGTTTTATTCTCGGCCTCATCACGACCGGGAGAAAAACGTGGTGTTTCTACCTCACGTGAAAAACCTAATTTGCTACAGGCAATATATTTAAAGTAAAATATTTTGTCTTATTTTAATGTGTAGAATACTCTTAGTTCTACCCTATTAATCCAAAAGCACCATCTTCAACACGAGTTGAAACCGTCCAGCTTGAATGACTTGTATGAGGATAGAACGAAAAGACTCGGAGATACAAAATGGGATAATCAAACACACAACTGTCTACCGTAAAATCGGAGATATCAAGGTCCTTAAACTAAGTGGCCGGAACTTTGCTTTAAATTTTTCACTTTATACAGAAGATGGTCTAAATGAACTACTGCACCACGACTGACTAAACCAGGCATTTAAAGGTGGAAGAAGTTAGGGATCTAACATAACCCCGTGGAGTGTGGTTGCTCAGCCACCTGTCAGGTGCTCTGGGATTCATGTGAATCCCTTCATGTGAACAGAGCACAGAAGGAAAATCCCCGGCTACTCAAAGATCATTATCTCACACCCTCCGGTTCGACAGTGCAGGTCACCCAAGCACTCTTCTCTGACTGTACTACCGCTAGACCAGAATCGGGACGTACCCGCAGTGAACCTGGACAGAATCATCTGAAGCAATACACGTGTTCATTTAATGAAATCATTCTTTAGCCACAAGAAAAGGCTTCCATTTTCTCAAAAAACCAAGGTGGAAGGGATTGAGTCTTGTTGGTACACTACTCTAAAGCTTTCTTACTCAAGTTGGCTTGACATATTTTCAACGAAATAGTGTAGGACAGTAGGAGAAGTAGGGCTCTACATCCTAAACTGTGGGACCATGAATAAATGTTCAAATGGACTTGATTCAAGTGCCTAAATTCTCATTTAGCGAATGTCCTTGGCATTTGATACGTTTTGCAGATCTTACCTGTGTCCTTGCAAACACAGATGTAACAACCATTGAAAAAAATCAGAGCAATATGAACAAGGTGCAAGGTATCCTTTCTGCAAAGAGGAGAGATATAAAAAGAAAAATGTCTATTTCCCCCCCCTCCCCCCATTTGATCCCATTCTATACCTTCATTTGTGTATGAAACGAAGATCAGGAATGTTAAAAAAGATAAAACTACCAGCCAGGACAGAAAAACATTGTTAGCAACAGTTAATCCATCCCACTACTGTTACTATTCCTCCCATTTCTGTAGCAGCATTCCCACCAGAACAGGTGGGAATTCTCCCAGAAGTGAGGGAGAACCTGTCACTCTCCATGCATGTAACCCTGAGCAAGTTGCCTTTCAGATTATAATCGTGAAAAAAAAGAATTAAGGAAAGAGTTTTTAGTCAGCCATCCACTAGATCCAAGCACATTATATCGGAACAAATCACTTAGGAAGGAAAAATCTGCAACACTGAGTGCCACTCCTATTCTTTCAAACCTGTCACACAGATACAGCACATCTCCCTCTATAGAGCGAGGATTCGCCTTCACCGTTATTACTAATAAAATTTAAGGCAACAAAAGAGTTCTAGACAACAACTTTCAGTTGAACCTGAAACTGCTACCAGCGAGAAAACAAGAACTGCCGCATTAAATGTGTACTCTTGGAGAAAGGAGTGACCCCGCTTTTTCATCCCCTGATGGAGATACGGACCAGCACTCCCCACCCAGACCATCCCCGGAAAACCTAGGGAATAAGGACAATGTTTCCTTTCTAAAGGAGAAAAGCAACACGTGCGGCTTACATACCTGAGGTGCGTCGGGGTCGGCAGGCGGCTCTCCCAGGACGGCGCTGCTGCTCGGGCTCGGCTTCTCGCAGGGCGCCCCGGCCACAAGCTCCTCCGCGGGCACGATGGGCAGCGGCGGCGGCGGCCAAGCGGCCTCGGCGGCCAAGCGGGGCGGCGCCGCCACGCACAGGTTGTAGGAGTAGGGCAAGGTGCCCTCGCAGAAGTCGGCCGGGAAGGCGGCGCCGGCCAGCGACAAGCGCTGCGCGCCCAGGCAGCGCAGCACGCCGGGCGGCCCGGCCCGCCGCAGCCGCGCCAGCACGGCCAGCGCCACGCTCAGCACCAACAGCGCCGACAGCAGCGCCAGCGCCAGCACCAGATAGAACTGCAGCTCGCCCGCCGCCTCGGCGCCCGCCGCCCGCTCGCTCAGCTCCGGCAGCGCCTCCTGCAAGCTCTCGGCCAGCACCACGTGCAGCGTGGCCGTGGCCGACAGCGCCGGCTCGCCGTGGTCCTTCACCACGGCCACCACGCGCTGCTTGGCCGCGTCCCTCTCCGACACGGCCCGCGCCGTGCGCACCTCGCCGCTGTGCAGCCCCACGCGGAACAGCGCCGGCTCCGACGCCTGCACCAGCTCGTACGACAGCCACGCGTTGCGCCCCGCGTCCGCGTCCACCGCCACCACCTTGCCCACCAGGTACCCGGACGACGCCGAACGCGGCACCACCTCGAAAGCCGAACCCACCGAGCCCGACGCCGCCGGCGGGGGCGGGTAGAGTACCCGCGGCGCGTTGTCGTTCTGGTCGAGCACGAAGACGCGCACCGTGGCCGTCGAGCTGCGCGCCGGCGACCCGCCGTCCTGCGCCCGCACGGCCACCAAGAACTCGCGGCACTGCTCGTAGTCCAACGAGCGCTGCGCGTACACCGCGCCGCTCCGCGCCTCCACCGACACCAGCGGCGCCGCGCCCGCCGCGCCCGCGCTGCCGCCCGACAGCCAGTAGCTCACGCGCCCGTTCGCGCCCGCGTCCAAGTCCCGAGCCACAACGCGCAACACCAGCGCGCCCACCGCGTTGTTCTCCCGCACGTACGCGCTGTACGACGCCTCCTCGAACACCGGCGCGTTGTCGTTCACGTCCGACACCTCCAGCAACAGCTCCCTGCTGCTCCACAGAGCCGGGCTGCCCCGGTCCCGGGCCACCACCGTCACGCGGTGCTCGGACGCCTGCTCGCGGTCCAGCGCGCTCGCCGTCACCACCTTGTAAGAGCCGCCCGACGACGCCACGATCGACAGCGGCGCCTCTCCCGACAGCTCGCACGACACCTCACCGTTCTCACCGGAGTCCGGGTCGTTCACGTTCAGCAGGGCCACCACGGTGCCGACCGGCGCGTCCTCAGGTACGGGGCTCGACAGTGACAGAAGGGTGATCTCGGGTGCGTTGTCGTTCTCGTCTGTGACGTCTATCTGCACTTCACAATGTCCCGTGAGTCCGCCCCCGTCCCTCGCTTCTAGAGCGAACCTATATATATTCGTCTCCTCGAAATCGAGGGGCCCCTCGGTGCTGATCTCGCCGCTCTCGCTGTCGACATAGAACAACTCGCGGATCCCGGCCGGGACGTTGCCAAAGGAGTAGGAGACCCGCCCATTGGACCCCGCGTCCGCATCCGTGGCCCGTACCTGCAGCACCAGCGAACCTGCCGGCAGATTCTCCACCACTCGCGCCTCGTAGACGTTTTTGCTGAACACGGGCGGGTTGTCGTTGGCGTCCGTCACGTTGACACGAACCTGGACAGTCCCGGACCTCGCGGGGTCCCCGCCGTCCACTGCCGTCAGCACCAGCTCAAAGGAGCTCTGCTTCTCCCGGTCCAACGCTTTCTCCAGCACTAATTCCGGCTGCTTCTTTCCACTCGTGATCTCCTTCACGGCCAGACTGAAGGATGGGTTGCTGCTGAGTTGATAAATAATCAGGGAATTACTTCCCACGTCCGCATCTCGGGCCATCTCCAGAGGAAAACGAGTACCGGGAGGAATTAATTCACCGATCTCGAGGTCCAGGGCATCCTTGCTGAAGACCGGGGAGTTGTCATTCACGTCCTCAATGGCCACTTCGACACGGAAGACGTTGAGCGGGTTGTGCACCAGCGCCTCGAAGCTGATCGAGCAGGACAACGACTCGCCGCACAGCTCCTCCCGGTCCAGCCTCTCGCTCACGTACAGGTTCCCGTTTGTCTCGCTCACCGAGAAGTATTTCAGCTGCTTTTTGCCGGCAGACGCCACCCGCAGCTTGCGCGCCGGCAGGTCGTCGGCGCTGAGCCCCAGGTCCCGGGCCAGCGGCCCCACCAGCGAGCCTCTGGGCAGCTCCTCGGCCATGGAGTAGCGGAGCCGCTCCGCCGCCGCCCGCCAGCACAGCCACAGCAGCACAGCGCCCAGCACCGCCGCTCGCCCGCCGCCCGGCCCGCCGCTCGGCCTCCGCCCGCCCGACATCGCCCACAGCGCTCGCTCGCCGAGCTCGCCAGGCTCCTGCCGCCGCCCCGCCTCCCTCGCAGCCGCTCGGCGCAGCCACAGCAGCGCCCGACAAAGCAAACCCGGACCGCCGCCGCCTCCCACTCGCACGCCTCTGCTGCCCGCGCCGCCTCTCGCCTCTGCTGCCCGTGCCGCTGCCGCTCTGGCCCGCACTGCCCGCCCGAGCCAGCAGCCTGCGGGGACAGCACGCACAGGCGGCGGCGGCGGCGGCTCCAGCAACGCTCGCCGGCGGCCCAACAGCGGCACCCGGAGGCGCCGACACAACACTGCAGCCGCCTCACGGCCGCGCTCGGCGGGGAACAACTTTGGCCCCGGATGGGGCTGCAACGGCCCTGGGGTCTCTGTTCTATTATTATCAGCAAGCGCAGAACCTCTTGCCTAATGCTTAGCAGGAATTCTAATGATTAGAGGAAGAACACTAGTCCCATATCCATACTGAAAAGGTTTTGTAGCTACAGTACATTTTTAAATAGTATGGCTCTATTATAAGGACTTGTACATCTAGTAGCCTTATCTGGTGCAAAAACTAACCAGGAAATACGTGTACTACAGCAATAAAGAGATTCCCTCCTCCACAGTCAGAGTATAGAAAAAATAAAATCTAAAAAGAAAGTTGCTTACATGCTTTACAGATTATATGTGTCATTAGTACCCCAGATAAGGTTGTGAGAAATGGCAATCAGGTGGCTAAATGTTGCCCACAGCCACCTGTGGAAGTTCATTTCTACTTTGTGTAAGGTTACCCAATATGGATAAGACCCATTGTCAAGTTGTAAGAAAGAGAGACAGTCAGAAGGAAAACCTCGAAGATCCAGTCACAGCTCTTTCCCAGTCCCACTCACTCAGTTCATGCCAAACCTGCCAATTTTTTCACCCTTTGCTGATATTTCATCTTCCTCCCCACACATGTCTCTGAAGCCCATGCAAAAGAGTTCACACTGCTCCAAAATGCTCAGGTCTGATAATGATTTAGAACAACAATTAACACTGATGGGGAAATGTGAATCTCTCGGGTAGTGGACCTGCACTCAGACCCAAGTCACCGGACTCCATGGCAGAGGAAAAGAAATCAGAGCAGTGCAGGCTCTGCACTGTGCACATTCTGACACCCACTACTCTTCAGTGGGCAGAAACTCTCAGTGCTCTTGGTGGACACTCCAAACTCCAAGGGCTGCCATAACAATTGTTTGGACATTTCTACCACTTGGAGTTTGGGAGCTTCCAGGTAAAAGTCCTATCATCTGGTCAGCACATCAAACGACAGCATGACCAGCTGAAAGCTGTACAGAGATTTCTGATGAGTCCTACACAAATCCAAAACCTCCTGCTGACCTCATTGGAACAGGTATATCAGCTCTGGGATTTTCAGTTGCTTTGACACAACTCTGCCTTCAAAAGTCATGCCCAGAGCACCTGGAAAGCCACTGAGGCCTTGAGAGACAAGGTAGGCAAACTGCACTGATTTCTAAGGGTGACTAGGTCTCCCTTAACTGGACTAGGTGACTTGACAAAGCTTAAGATATTGCTTTCTTTAGAACAACAATGATCTCTGGCACTTAGTAAACCAAAGAAGCCAAACCAAATACCTCCCACTGTCCCACATGGCGCTGATTATTCTTTACTGTGATAAATCCAGGTCTCTACAATGTAGGAAATCACACAGAGGAGCCTGTAGTCCTGTAGTGCCCAAAGAGATAAAGACAATCCCCAGACTGGTGGGATTGGCCAGCAGTACTGTACAAGCTCTATTATGTTGCAGAGCTTGCCACAGAGGGATCAGAGGTGACTTCTACTATGCAATAATGCTCTTTGATCTTGCTGATGCATATAAACCACTTGGAGTCAGCAGTGGATGTGGCTGCATCCAAGTGTTCTCCATGAGGGCTTTCTTACAGAGCAGAAACTCAAATCTCTAACCCATTTCTGATTATTACTGAACAAATCCAAAAGCTGTAAGTGGCCCCTCGGAGGGAAACACTGGACTCCTTGAATGTACAGGTGCTTTGCCACATCTCTGCCTTAAAAGAAACCCTTCACAAAGCACCTGGAAGTCACAGAAGTCTGAATCCACACATTAGGCCCCAAAATCTTGCTTTGGACCATATAGTAGGGGGGTTTATTTTTGGAAATACACCAGTCCTTGTGACATTTTCTACTTTGTGTCCTGTTCATCATGATTTTGAAGCTGTATGTCTAAATGCATCATCAAAGGCCTTCATCTAAATGGAACGACTTAGGAGGGGCCAGTTTTAGCTTCTGCCTAATTTTCCTCACATGTAACATTCTGTCTTCCTGTGGTTCTCAAGGAAAGTCAGTCTTTGCTGCAAAACAACACTCACAGTTACCAATGGGATAGAACAATCTGCAAGTGGAAAACGTGAAACATAATATAGCAGGAAACAAAGCCTGAAGAAAGATCAAGGGTGGGGAAATGGAATATTGACTTGGATGATACTCTCCATCTAAAAGTGACAGAAAAATCTAGATAAAGAAAGGAGGTTTCACATAGGAATTAAAAACTATTCTACAAATATGTCATCATTCTGACCCCTCTAAAGCCCTATTCAACTTTGCAAAAATATCACAGGAGAAGACAATGAATAATGATCATATAGAAGAAAGAAACACATTTGTTTGCTCACCACCATTCTGAGAAGATATATAATTCCATAAATAGTACAGGAATGATAAAGAGACAAACTACAAGAGGAGCAGTCCTCCACCAGAGACTGGGTCATTGAACTCTGCACTTGGGGAAATATCTTCCCCTCTTCTATCACACACACTGGTCCACAAAAATGTGACTTTGCTGAAGTCCTGTTGACAGCTCTTGACTCACAGCAGAACTGGAATGTAAAGCTGTGCCACTCACATCTCCTGCCTTCCACACCAGCTATAACATGACGAAACAGGCACTGAAGAACAAGGCCTTGGGAAATATAATTAAATGTACATATGGAGAAGGGCATAGAAAAAAAAGAGATGAGCAATGCAAGGAAGCATTAAGAGTGTTCTCATTAAGAGAGCATCTTTAAGAGAACAGCATTAAAGAGGACATCTCAGTCAATACTAATGAAATCCATGTAGCTAAGTCTATTAGAGATACACCAGAGTCCACACCTAAGACTAAGATAGGACCTGGATGCATCCAAGCTCCAACAGGGGCTTAGGAAGTCAGGGGATTAATTCAATAAAGGTCCTTTATGTGTTTCATCCATGTAGTAAGTGACAGAGTGAACCTTAACATCAAACTTTGTTAAAGACACACTTGAACAGCTTCCTATTAAACCACTTTTGATAATACCTCTGAATGGGATTCCTTAAGTAAACGAAATCTTTCATTAATGACATCTAACCATGTGTCACCCTTCTACATGCAGAGTGAGTGGACAAAAGCTCTGTTTTCAGAGCTCTACCATTGCCTTTGAAAACAGGGAAACCAGGATCACAGAAAAAATGGCACAGGCCTTGACACACCATGAAATCAAACTATTCCTCAGACAAAGACTCAGGAATTCACCTAATTGTCTGGTTTGAATTCAGCCTCTCACCCTCTTTGCTCTACATTCACAGCCTTTAGTCACACCATGGACAAATCCAACTCTTGGCCATATGTCCAGCACAAGTGAAAAAGCAAGTGACATTCAGGCGAAATTCAGCAATATCTTAGGGAACCAGAAGTATATCCAAGTCTTTGTCTTGGCAGCTAAACCCCTTCAAGACAGGAGTACAAACTGTTAATTTAAGCAGGCCGGTTTCCAAGGACTATCATCCAAACTGAGGCCCAGCTTTAGAACAAGGAAAGAATGACAAACACAGGCTCTGTCAAATGGAGCAGGTACACAGGAGGAGGATCTGGTATTCAGAGGCACAGTTCTCCAGGGGATTCCTTTGGAGAACACGAAATGGGAAAAGCTACCTTTCCAGACAGATATTACTGAAAGACTCTCCTTAGGGAGAATAAGGATCATAACACAGACACATGCATAGGAACCTAAAATGTTCCAGTGGGCATAAGCTATACAAGGCTGAGTTGGAGTGTCAGTCTTCAGAATCAACTCAAAGACACCACCATTCTTCCTCAGCACATGGGCATTTTGGACGATATGTGACTCTGCAAAAGTTAATGCAAAGTTCATGTCTACCTCCCCAAACCAGCATTCTCAGGAAGAGCTCTATCAGACAAGACAGGATTCAATGAGTAAGTTGCTCACAACTACTTCAAATAACAAGAAAATTCATGACCAAAATACCCTCCCATCCCCTCCATTCCCACCAGTCTTCAACATCATATTAAACCCACTTTTGATAACACCTCTGAAGGGGATTCTTTAAGCAATGTCAATCCCTCATTCACAACACCTATCCATGAATCATCCCTCTAAATGCAGAGCTATTGCAAAAATGTTCTATTATCAGAGGACTACCCTTGCCTTTCAGGACAGGGAAACCAGGGTCACAGAAAAGATGGCACAGGCCTTGGCACCAGGCACAACAACAAACCACTGCTCAGCCAAAAACACATTCATCCTCCAGTTTTCCCAGCAGGAAGCCAGCCTCTCATCCTCATTGCTCTGCACCCACAGCACATTACAGGACATAACCTCAGCAGATACTTCACATGAGCAAGAACATTTAATAACATCTGCAGGTTGGTCAAGGCTGGGAAGAGCTTGATACAACCACCATGGAACTCTGCATCACAGCCATACAGGGAAATATAGATGGGAAAATGATGTTTCATGCAGCAGCTCTTAGACACAGAATCTCTGAAGCATATTTGCACTTCCATGGGTATTTCTTGCAGACAAATTCATCACAGGATTGTCCTCTCCTTCCTGGATGCAGGAAAAAGGCACCTGGTGTGAGTGGCACAGGCCTTGGCACTTGCCAACACAATAACACACCCACACAGGTGGACCATAGAACTCCCTCTTTCCCTGCTGTAGGTCAGTCTCTGGCTGATCTTGCACTGACTTTACATCCTGAGTATGTGGCAAGCAAGAGCACTGATTCGAGTGACATTTTCAGACACACACGGACCCACCTTTACCTCATCACAACAAGCAAAGCAGAATTTAACCAGCAGCCTCTGGGAACACTGTGCAATAGGAAAGCAAACTGATGAACCCACAACTTGGCCACAACTTTTTCACCTTGTCCAAACATTACACAACAAAAAAGCTGCGTTTGCAAACAGGCATCACTGAGACAGAAGTCGCACGCACAGTTTCCCCTTAGAGAAGAATGAAGGTAAAAACACTAATGGATGAAAGAGAGTTCTTTGCTCATCACTACTCTAAGAAATGTAATACCTTCTCAAGTCCATAAGCGTTATAACACCCCTGTCATCAAAGTATCAGCTCAAAGACACCACCATCCTTCTTCACCCCCAGGGCAATTCGGCAACAAGCTCAGCAGAGCTGATGAGATACTATCAGATGTAAAGACCTACAGTTGGATCCTCACAATGAGCAAGGCAAATGTTAACACCTGCAGAAATGAACCAGTCAGAACATCCTCTTCAAGGTTCCAGCACAGGTATTGAGTAGGGAACTTAAGGTGTTGTTTTGGCACGAACCCCACTCGGACACGAATGCCAGAGCAGAATTGAGGTTTCTTTCAAAACACTTCGGTTTAAATACAGCGCTTAAACATGTCACATGATCTTTCAACCAATGACAATCAAATATTGATTGAGCAAGAGTGAGAACCCAGAAAACTACAACTCCCATGATTCCTTGTCACATTCTTCCTGCCACAGGAACCAACAACGCTTTTGCTCCTCCCAAAGCTGTCACTGTCACATTTATAACCAGTACATCTTTAAGCTATTAGTAAAATACATCATATCGACCTGCAAACTAAGAGAAGTACAATACCAAGGCTCCCAATACTTACTTTCCCCAGTAAGAAAGAAACTCATATTGTGTAATAATGAAAATGGACAGAAAACCCCTAAAAATGAACACTTTTTTTTTACCCTCATAATATGCAAACAGGTTTGCCATCTGCAGTTCAAAGAAATATCAACATTCTAAAGGCAAAGGACAAGCTGTTCCCCAGGAAAAACTGTGCCAGTGAACAACGTGAAGCACAGTAATGACATAATTAAAATTATAGATGAACCTCCAGTAAAAAGCAGATTCCCTGCTTCTGCCTCCTCCACACGTAAACCTGGGCAATGAAAAGACGTCTAGATCCTCCCTACGAGTAACACAGATCACGGGGTGAAAGAGCAAGAGAGTAGCGAAAGGAAACGTCGCCGAAACACTCGACTTCAAAGGAACTCACCGAGAGAGGGGCGGGGTCCGCCTGCTGGGCACCGGCAGGTTCCTCGTCTCCGAGCAGCGGCGCGGGCTCGTCGGGCGGCGGCCGGGCCGGCAGGGTGGCGCAGCAGCTGTCGGCCGAGAAGCGGAGGTGGCTCTTGCGCGAGTCGGCCGTGAGAGACACGTCGTGCGAGTAGGAGTGCAGGAAGGCGCGCACGCCGTCGATGCCCACGAAGTGCGTGGCCGGCACGCCGCGCAAGGCGCCGCTGCCCGCCGCCAGCAGCTGCTGCTGCGAGCGCCGCCAGCGCCGCAGGCGCAGCGCCAGCAGCAGCAGCAGGAAGGCGAGGAACAGGCACGACACGGCGGCCACGGCCAGCACCAGCCAGCGCGTCAGGCTGCCGCCCGCCTCGCCCGCCCCCGCCTCCGCCTCCGCCCGCGCCGCGCTGCCCAGCTCGGCCAGCAGCTCGGCCACGCTCTCGGCCAGCACCACGCTCAGCGTGGCCGTGGCCGACAGCGCCGGCCGCCCGTGGTCCTTCACCAGCACCACCAGGCTCTGCCGCGACGCGTCGCGGGCCAGTGGCGAGCGCGCCGTGCGCACCTCGCCGCTGTGCAGCCCCACGCGGAACAGCCCCGGCTCCGTCGCCTTCGCCAGCTCGTACGACAGCCACGCGTTCTGACCCGCGTCCGCGTCCACCGCCACCACCTTGGCCACCAGCGCGCCGGCCTCGCTCGACCGCGCCGCCAGCTCCACGCCCGACCACACCGAGCCCGACAAAGCCGCCGGCGGGTACAGCACCTGCGGCGCGTTGTCGTTCTCGTCCACGATCACCAGCCGCACCGACACGTTGCTGCTCAGCGCCGGCGAGCCGCCGTCCTCCGCCCAAACCCACAGCCCCACCCCGCGCACCTCCTCGTAATCGAACGAGCGCAGCGCGTACAGCGCGCCCGTCTCCGCCTGCACCGACACGTACGACGACAGCGGCCAGCCCCGCACACCACCCTCCCCCAGACGGTACCGCACGCGCGCGTTCTCCCCCCAGTCCGAGTCCGTCGCCCGCACCCGCAGCACCAGCGCGCCCGCCACGTTGTTCTCCGACAGCCGAGCGCTGTAGCGCTCCTGCGAGAACACCGGCGCGTTGTCGTTCACGTCCAGCACCCGCAGACACAGCACCCTGCTGCTCTGCAGCGACGGACCACCGCCGTCGGCCGCCCGCACTGTCACGTTGTACTCCGACTCCTGCTCCCGGTCCAGCTCTCTCGCTGTCACCACGCGGTAGTAGTCCTCAAAGGATTTCTCCAGTCGGAACGGGTGGCTCCCGTCGAGCGAGCAACGCACCTCGCCATTGGCCCCCGAGTCTCGGTCGTGCACGTGCAGCAGGGCCACCACCGTCCCCGTCGGGGCATCCTCCGAGATCTCACTCAGCGCCGACGAAACTATAAGTTCAGGAGCGTTGTCGTTCACATCTGTCACGGTGACTACGACTTTAGCTGTGTCGAAGAGAGCTCCACCATCATGTGCCTGCACCTCCAGTTCGTAGTAATCGCCTTCCTCGAAGTCCAGGCTTCGCAACAGTGTGATCGCTCCTGTCTCAGCATCTAGCTGGAAAATCTGCGACTCTTTTTCTTTTATTTTCTTAAACGAATATTTCACGTGCCCGTTCAGACCCTCGTCGGCATCGGTGGCCGTCACGGTGACGAGGGTGGAGCCCACGGGCACGTCCTCCGGCACACGCACCGTGTACTCCGCCTGGCTGAACACGGGCGCGTTGTCGTTCGCGTCCAGCACCGTCACGCGGATCCGCGCCGTGCCCGTCCGGGACGGCTCGCCGCCGTCGCTCGCCCTCAGCACCAGCTCGTGAAACGCCGCCTCCTCCCGGTCCAGCCCCTTCGCCAGCACCAGCTCGGGACGCTGATCCCCGCCGGGGCCCGTCTGCACGGCCAGCGAGAAGTGCTCGTCGCCGCTCAGCTCGTAGCTCTGCAGGGAATTCTGTCCAGAGTCCGGATCGTGAGCGTCTGGGAGGGGAAACCGCGATCCTGGGACTGTCGTCTCGCTCATTCTCAGCTCCATTTCTGTCTCTCGGAAGCTGGGGGCGTTGTCGTTAATGTCCGTGATTTCCACTTGGATTCCGTAAACCTTCATTTCCCCCTCCACTATCAGCTCACAGCGCAGCACGCATTGCTCCACACTCTCGCACAGCTGCTCTCTGTCGATCCTCTCGGCCGTCACTAAATGTCCCGTCTTGCTGTGCACAGCAAAATACTGCGTCCTGCCTTTGTCCAAGAGGCGCACACCGCCATCTCGCAGAGTCGGCATCTGCAGCCCCAGGTCCTTGGCCACGTCGCCCACGAACGAGCCCTTGGGCATCTCCTCGGGCACCGAGTAGCGCAGCTGCCCCCACGCCGCCTCCCAGGCCGCCAGCAGGACGCCCCACAGCAGCACTCGCTGCCGCCGGCCCCAGCGCCTCCCCGCCGCGCACATCTCCGCCGCCGCACCGCCGGCACCGCAACACCGCCGGCAGATCCCCGCCGCCGTCACCCGATCCGGCTTTCTCTCTGGCTCCGACTTGCCGCTCCCGGCCTCCGCCGCCCGCCCCTCCGCCTCGCTGGAGCTCGGATCCTCACCGCGGAGAATATCGAAAACGAACCGCTTCCCGATCCAGGAATCCAGCGATCCAGCGATCGAGCCGGGCCGCAGCGGGCGGGGCTGCAGCGCTCCCACCTTCCTCTCGCTCCTCTCGGTCAACAGCGGCGCCCGCAGCCTCCTCCCGGCACTGCACGCACCGAGCGCCAACGAGACATGCCCGCCCTGCCTCGCCCACGGGCAGCTCAAAAAGACAGGACATTCGCCACGAAAATGTCGGGTCCGGTACAGTGGAGACCTGGCGTTATGTTCTTTCTACCGCACGGGAAAATATTCATGTGATAATCTATAGATACAAAGGTCTCTTAATATGACGTGCAGTGTATTATCAATCTGCTATTCCATAGTAGGAAAGGTCAACATCTTCCCCACAATTGCAGAGCTTTTTGTTTCATTCGTTCTCTAGTTTTTCCTCTCTGTGTATCAACACTCGAACACCTCTAGCCACAGTAGATTCCCAGACCCAGAGCAATTGCAAATATAAGTGATGAAGTTCCCTTCTCAAAAGGAGGGATTTTAGGGACTGCCTTTCTCTCTCCGCTTTGTTACTCTCCACCTGAACATTCGAGGGTGCTCTGAATCAGCCTCTGTTGCTTCACTTCTCCAACCACTTCTTTCGAATTTTTCATTACAGCCTTATGCAACAGGCCGTGATTATACAACTTAGTGCTCCGTTATTGATCACAGCCTTAGCGATAGACCCTATTAACTAAGGAATATATAAATTTTTGGGAAAAAAAGATAAAAATGAAACGCAGGTTAAAAGCAAAACCAGACTAACCAATCAACCAACAAACATACAAACAAACAATAAACAAAAAACCCACGCGATTTCTCTCTTAAAACTCATTCAGTGTCTCTGTAGAAAAGCCGGCTGAGGACTGGTAAACAAGAGGGAACTACCACACATGATGAAACCATTGACGATAAATACCACAGAAAGAGAAGAAATAAACAAAGTTCTGATAAAGTCGGAGACCAATCAGAGATCAATAAAGTGATCTCACTATTGTAGCCATTTATGCAGCCTTCTTACAACAAAAGATGGAGGGCACATCCACAAAAGTGGAAGGCAGGCATAGCTGTGAGGGCAGGAAATTTTTCCTTCATCAAGGCACGTTTCCTTAAAACAGAGAAATAATATAAAAGGTCGCAGTGCAACTATTTGGCAAACCAAGATCAGGAAGGAAAAATCTCATCACTGAGAGTCAATCAAACTCCAAACTCTACCACAGAGAATTAGTGGATCTCCTCCGAAAAGTAAGGATCTGCCTTCACCGTTACTAACCCATATTACTTCACACAACACTAGGTTTGCAGAAAACCATGAACCTGAACATTTGATGAACGAAGGGACGCTGTCACTACATTTCTACTCTGAGAGGAAAATTAATAAAAGCAAAACTGAAAGCAGAAAATTCCAAGTCATCTACTGTTTTATGCAGCATAAGTTGAATGACAAGAAGCTCCCAACTGAGCGGAAATCTGTGACAGCTCATGAGGCAGGAAATGCCGGTTGGCAACGCCTGATGCATAAACGGGGTAGAGTTATTAATCCGCGATTATGGAAACAGCGACCGGCACTAATTGCACCAGAACAGACACAAACCCCAAGAGCCCACTGCCACATGCACACGGCTAGGAAAACCTCAGAGAGGAGAGTGAGACTATACAGACCTGTGGTGCGTCGGGGTCAGCGGGCGGCTCTCCCGGGACGGCGCTGCTGCTCGGGCTCGGCTTCTCGCAGGGCTCCCCGGCCACAAGCTCCTCCGCGGGCACGATGGGCAGCGGCGGCGGCGGCCAAGCGGCCTCGGCGGCCAAGCGGGGCGGCGCCGCCACGCACAGGTTGTAGGAGTAGGGCAAGGTGCCCTCGCAGAAGTCGGCCGGGAAGGCGGCGCCGGCCAGCGACAAGCGCTGCGCGCCCAGGCAGCGCAGCACGCCGGGCGGCCCGGCCCGCCGCAGCCGCGCCAGCACGGCCAGCGCCACGCTCAGCACCAACAGCGCCGACAGCAGCGCCAGCGCCAGCACCAGATAGAACTGCAGCTCGCCCGCCGCCTCGGCGCCCGCCGCCCGCTCGCTCAGCTCCGGCAGCGCCTCCTGCAAGCTCTCGGCCAGCACCACGTGCAGCGTGGCCGTGGCCGACAGCGCCGGCTCGCCGTGGTCCTTCACCACGGCCACCACGCGCTGCTTGGCCGCGTCCCTCTCCGACACGGCCCGCGCCGTGCGCACCTCGCCGCTCTGCAGCCCCACGCGGAACAGCGCCGGCTCCGACGCCTGCACCAGCTCGTACGACAGCCACGCGTTGCGCCCCGCGTCCGCGTCCACCGCCACCACCTTGCCCACCAGGTACCCGGACGACGCCGAACGCGGCACCACCTCGAAAGCCGAACCCACCGAGCCCGACGCCGCCGGCGGGGGCGGGTAGAGCACCCGCGGCGCGTTGTCGTTCTGGTCGAGCACGAAGACGCGCACCGTGGCCGTCGAGCTGCGCGCCGGCGACCCGCCGTCCTGCGCCCGCACGGCCACCAAGAACTCGCGGCACTGCTCGTAGTCCAACGAGCGCTGCGCTTACACCGCGCCGCTCCGCGCCTCCACCGACACCAGCGGCGCCGCGCCCGCCGCGCCCGCGCTGCCGCCCGACAGCCAGTAGCTCACGCGCCCGTTCGCGCCCGCGTCCAAGTCCCGAGCCACAACGCGCAACACCAGCGCGCCCACCGCGTTGTTCTCCCGCACGTACGCGCTGTACGACGCCTCCTCGAACACCGGCGCGTTGTCGTTCACGTCCGACACCTCCAGCAACAGCTCCGCCACGCTCGATAGCGCCGGGCTGCCCCGGTCCCGGGCCACCACCGTCACGCAGTGCTCGGACGCCTGCTCGCGGTCCAGCGCGCTCGCCGTCACCACCTTGAACGAGCCGCCCGACGACGCCACGATCGACAGCGGCGCCTCTCCCGACAGCTCGCATGACACCTCACCGTTCTCGCCGGAGTCTCGGTCCCGCACTTTCAGCAGGGCAACCACGGTCCCGGCCGGTGAGTCTTCAGGCACCGGGCTCGATAGCGACAGAATCGTGATCTCGGGGGCATTGTCGTTCTCGTCCGTGATGTCTATCTGCACTTGACAATGACCGGTCAGACCACCACCGTCCCTCGCCTCAAGGGCGAAGCTGTATTCACTTTTCTCCTCGAAGTCGAGGGGACCCGCTGTCCTGATCTCACCATTCTCGCTGTCAACAGCAAACAATTCACGGATCCCCGCCGGGACGTTGCCGAAAGAATAGGAGACCCGCCCATTGGACCCCGCGTCCGCATCCGTGGCCCGCACCTGCATCACCAGCGACCCCGCCAGCAGATTCTCAGCCACTCGAGCCTCGTAGATGCTTTTACTGAACACGGGTGGGTTGTCGTTTGCGTCCAGCACGTTGACGCGAACCTGAACAGTCCCGGACCTCGCGGGGTTCCCACCATCCAGTGCACTAAGAACGAGCTCAAAGGAGCTCTGTTTCTCCCGATCCAGTGTTCTCTCCAGCACTAATTCCGGCTGCTTCATACCACCTGGGTTCTCTTTTATGGCCAGACTGAAAGAGGGGCTCCTTGTGAGATCATAAGTCAGTAGCGAGTTGCTTCCGGCGTCTGCGTCTTGGGCCATCTCCAGAGGAAAACGAGTGCCGGGAGGGATCCATTCATCGATCTCGAGGTCCAGAGCAGCCTTGCTAAAGGTCGGGGAGTTGTCATTCACGTCCTCAATGGACACCTCGACATGGAAAACGTTGAGCGGGTTGTGCACCAGCGCCTCGAAGCTGACCGAGCAGGACGCCGATTTGCCGCACAGCTCCTCCCGGTCCAGCCTCTCGCTCACGTACAGGTTCCCGTTCCCCTCGCTCACCGTGAAGTATTGCTTGTCCGCGCTGAGCCGCAGCTTGCGCGCCGGCAGCTCGTCGGCGCTGAGCCCCAGGTCCCGGGCCAGCGGCCCCACCAGCGAGCCTCTGGGCAGCTCCTCGGCCATGGAGTAGCGGAGCCGCTCCGCCGCCGCCCGCCAGCACAGCCACAGCAGCACAGCGCCCAGCACCGCCGCTCGCCCGCCGCCCGGCCCGCCGCTCGGCCTCCGCCCGCCCGACATCGCCCACAGCGCTCGCTCGCCGAGCTCGCCAGGCTCCTGCCGCCGCCCCGCCTCCCTCGCAGCCGCTCGGCGCAGCCACAGCAGCGCCCGACAAAGCAAACCCGGACCGCCGCCGCCTCCCACTCGCACGCCTCTGCTGCCCGCGCCGCCTCTCGCCTCTGCTGCCCGTGCCGCTGCCGCTCTGGCCCGCACTGCCCGCCCGAGCCAGCAGCCTGCGGGGACAGCACGCACAGGC